TTTGGAGGGGGCCCTTTAGCCGGCAGCCATGTTCTTAATGCCTTCTTGTTGTTGTTGAACTATGCTTGAAAATGTAAGATGTCCATCTTCAAGATTGAACTTTGTTATGCCTTTTCCCAGGTTCAAATTTGCTGGCCTAAGACTCGTCCTCTTCCATTTTCAGGTTACTATGGATTGATGGAAGAGTACTGATAATGATGAAGCTAATGCTTTAATATATTTTGTTCCTTGAGAGTGTAGGCCTGGTGTTTCTTCCTCATTGGTGTCTTTCTTAGTGCTCTTTCACAATTGTGAAGTTCGAGATAAATCTTTTTCTGCTAGCTAGTACTGGGGTTTTTAGACAAGAACCAGCTGTCTGGATAGCAGATAGTGTATATCTCAACTGAGTTTTCATTTCTTCTTCTTCGAGAGAAAAAATTTGGAAGGAAAAGCACGTATAGAGGACACAGACATGCCTATGAAGATGCAAATCCAAGTCATGACTTCTGCTTCTCAGGCTCTGGATTTCTATGATGTCCAAGACTGCAAATCCATTGCTGCCCACATAAAAAAGGTACCATCCCTCTCCCTCTCTATCACATGCATACGCACACATGGAAAAAGCAGTTCCTTTTTTTTTTTTTTTATTATTATTAATATATCTTTCATGTGCAAGTATTGCAACATGGTTTGCATGCCTCTTGAAAATGAGATGCATTCTATTTTTTTCTTCCTTTCTGAATATGGGAAATTAATATCCCTTAATGGCTTAATCTATTCGATTGTGGTTGGAAAATGCTCTTTCAGCTTATTCTTTTGTGGTGTGATTGGCAGCAGTTTGACCTGAGATACGGGAGGGGATGGCCATGTGTGGTGGGTTCAAATTTTATTTGTTTTTTCACTCATTATAAAGGGACTTTTATCTACTTGACATTGGAGACCCTCAATTTCCTAATCTTCAAAGGAGCTTCTTCTCCCTGATTGATTAAGTCTCTGCATTTGATTGCCAAGAAGTTCCAGAGAGGCAAGTGGAAGGGAGGAAAATAGGTACTTCAGAATAGTAGAAGCGAAAAAGAACAAAAAACAGGTCACAGGGCAGTTGCACCGATCTTTTCATGTAAATATGGCAGCTAGTTATCATGATATTCACCATTATCATTGCGCATTCACATTTTTCCTTGTCTTTTATGGTTTTCCCCCAATGATTTTGGTGAGCTAGTTCTAGTTAGCCAATAACCAATGGTTGCGACTTACCAATCTCCTTGGAGGTACTAGGTGATTCCTGGAGACTGCCAATTGGGCTATTAACTTCATTAAAATTCGTTGCTTACAACCACTATGAGCTCAAATGGACTTTTCAATATGCTAGAAAATCACGGACAGAGCTTCTAGTGATGTAGACATGACAAAAATCTGGAGAATCGAAGGACGTCTACACAAGCACCTGACTCAAGCCTTGTCTTTGGCATAACCATCATATAACTGGAGTCAACAGGGACTTTTTGCTAAAGTGTGCCTTCAGGTTTGAAATGACAAGGTCTGCCATTGCGTCGCTAGTTTCTACAGTGTCAGATCCCACATGTGGCTGGAGGACGACATTGCCAAGACCGAGCAATTCTTCAGGTACCTCAGGCTCATTTTCATACACATCAAGCCCTGCTCCACCTAGCCGACCTTCAAGCAATGCAGACACAAGCTCAGTTTCATCCACGTGAGCACCCCGTCCAATGTTTATTAGAATGCCCTTTGGACCCAGTGCATCAATGACTTCGCGATTGATAATATGGCGTGTTTCCTCTGTCAAAGCACATGCCACGATGAGGATTTGGCAACTGGTGGCCAAGTCAATAATATTCGAGTAGAATTTGTAGCTTGCAAATGGTTTTTGTGACCTGGAGAAGTAACTTATGGAGCAACCAAAAGCTTCAGCTCTCTTTGCAATAGCTGTACCAATCCTGCCCAACCCAACGATGCCAACTGATTTACCACTAAACTGAAAGGGAAAAGGCAGTATCAACGAACAAAATTCAAACTCCATACAAAACTACAGTTCAGCTTCCAATTAAAGTCGAAGACGCACCAACTTTACATGCTTGCATCATTAATAACAAGTATATTGAACAATGGCAAACTAGACATGAAAAATAGAAAACTGATATAGATGTCAACAATGATGATTAACAGAATAATGCTCAAATAGAATGGAAATACACATTTCAATTTCTCCACCCAAAGCATCTTGAATTTCTGCAGTGTTCATGGCATGGAGTTTATCCAACTCCTTCCATAATGTCAGCTCTCCACTAGCAGGGCACAAAGAAATTCGCAATGTATATAGTCTCCCAGTTAGGTGTAACCCAAAAATGATTCTCGTAACGAATCGTGGTCCTTTCTGGACACAACCTCCTAGTTATCATTCTATAACAGGATTCAAATCAAGAGAGACAGCAAGTGACTTCAGACAAAACATGAGATCTGTAATACTAAACGTACAAACATAAAGGAAACTAATCTTGTAAGTTAAGAATGATACAATCTACAGAATTCCTCTAGCTATACGAAATTTTCATATCTATCAAGCCTGTACCTTCCATTCACCTATTATCAATCCGAGAATCCAAAGACAGCAATCCACATCACACAAAATCAATATTAAAATGCTGATAAATAACCGAGAGAGAGAGAGAGACCTTTGTTGCCAATCCAAAATCAGCATCCTTCCACTTGCCAATCCTGACGTAAGCATCAGAAGCGCAGATCCCCCTCAAAACCCCCAATATCAACCCAATTGCTAAGTCAGCAACATCATCAGTCAAAACATCAGGGGTATTAGCAACTCTAATCCCTTTCTCTTCACACTTTCTCAAATCAATTTTATCCAATCCTACACTGTAACTGGCAACAATTTCCAAACTTGGCAATGACGCAATTAGTTCCGCATCTGCACCAATCTCAGTGTTACCCACTACTGCTCTGATTGTGTTTCCTTGATGGGTTTTCAAGAACTCAGTTATTGAGGAGTTGCAGTGCCATAGTCTGAAGAGATTGAAGTGGGTTTCTAGCTGTTGTTCTAGGTATTTGTGCATCGGACAAGTCATTAGGACTCCAATGGACTTCATTTCTATGCCTGAGATTTTTTCAAGGTTAGGGTCCTTCTCCTTTTCTGTTTGTTGGGTTGTGTGGTGGCTCGTTTCCATTTTGAAAGTCAGTTAACATGGCCGGGGACATCCTAAAACGACATGTCAAAACTGTGCAAAAGCAGAACGATACTGTTAACAATGCATGCTAAGTTTTGGAGAGACCATGGCAATAAGAAATGCATAGTTTTTTCAATCACAATATCATGTTCTTTTGTTCTCGTATTTCTATAATCCATGAATTTGGATCCAAATTCATAATTTTGAAATTAAATTTCTTTGTTCAGAATCAATTTTCTAAATAATTTTTTATTCTAGTAAAAATCATGTTTAAAAAAATTTATAGATTTTCTTTAACATCATAATTATGTATAAAAAATATTAAATTTGTAGCTAAAAATTATTCTATCTTGACTTATTCAATAAACAGAAAGCTTTAAGGAGCATAGAGAGAAGTTGTTGATATTCATTGATTAATGTTATGGAACAAAAAAACTAATATACATGATTGAGAGATTAAATAATAGTTTATTTTATTTTTGTAGTAAAAAAATAATATCTTAATGACACGAGTTTGAAATTTCAATTTAGATAATCCTGAAATTTTATCATTATAAAAAAAACTAAAATATATTGTTACATTATTATTCATTCTATCATTGATGCAGACATATTAGTATTGTGGATTCTCGCATATTTTGTTCTTTTTCTTTCTTTCCCCTATTCTTTTATGCCTAGACAACATGGCTTCATGACAATCACACTATTTCTCTTTCTTCTCCTTTCTTTTACAATAATAATAGTGCAATATTGTCTATTTTTTCTTTTCTCTTTCCTTTTGCCTATTTATCTGCTCCACATTAGTGATACAATTGTTTACCTATGAGTCACATATTAATATTTATAATATCTTCTATTTTGATAATAATAATTTAAATGAAAAATAAATTAATAATATGCTTAAATGAGATTAAATTTAAATATATTTTATATAAAGATTACTTTAACAAGTATATGGAATTGAATGAAGAAACTCATCAACAAGTCTAAAATACAAAGTAAGTGGAGACTTAGCTATTAAGAATTCATTTTAGAACTTGTTATTAAATCTTTATATCTTACTTAATAGCAAACTAAAATGAATTCTCATATTTTACATTGCATGTATAAATGTGATTGATATACACTTACTTAGTTCAAGTTTCACTAGATTTAAAATTCCAAAACTAGTTTTTAAGCTGAATTGGTCGATCATTTGAACATACCAAGTGAAACGGTTGATCGTTGTTCATATGTGATGAACACTTAAAAAAACTTTAGGAACTGGTTGACCAAATAATATGGTCATTTAAACTAGTCGACCACTTTAGGTGTCAAAGACATTCTAACAACGATAAACACCTAATTTCTTGTGTGTGTGTGTACATAACTCTTTCTTTTGCAAAATTAAAGAAAGATTTGAACATGCATTATATAGAAGCTATTCCAAAAGAAAAACCTAACTAGAAACCACCAATCCTAGCATACTATAAGTTGTGAAAAATTAAATCTTTATATTCTAGCATAAAAATATAAAATCTCATAGTCATTACACACATATCTTTAATCATCCTAAATGCTATGGAGTGAGCTATAAAAATTATAGTTTTTAATTGTATAATCTACTCTTTAAGAGAGTGAATCTTGTTGTAAACAAATCATAATTGTAAATACCTAGGAGTTTGAATAAACTCTTGGCATTAGTAAGGTATTGTCAGCAATGAAAAATTATTAAAGAGTGAAAATCTTCAAATGGTGTAATTGCTTGATATGGATTCATCAAGGTCATTATATTTACTTGAATTAGTAAAAGAGTATAATACTTAAGTACAATTGGTACTTGAGATGTTGATGTAAGCTTACCAAACCACGTTAAAAACTCAGGTTGCAATCTTTTTTTTCTAATCTCATTACTTTAAGTACTTTAATTAAATTGTTGGATATTGTGTTATATGTGCTTAATGTGATTATTTATATTATTTAACATAATTAGTGGAACACCTAATTCATTTCCTTATAGGTGTTGTTTTTACCTTAATCATAGAATAACAATTGATATTTGAGCTTAGTCCTCATGTATACAAGTTAGCTCAGACTTAAGTAGAATGAAAACCACTAGCTATAATGTTCAAAATAAGAAAGCATAAACCTCTAGGCCACCATTCTTTTATGATAATGATTATGTCAATTGAAAAGCTAGAATGATTATATTTATTCAATCTATTGATTATGATATATGACCATTTATTGAAAATGGACCTCATAAGCCTATTAAGATTGAAAATGATATACTTGCATGAAATTAAATTTAAATAGGTTTTATATAAAGAATACATTAATAAGCATAAGGAATTGAGTGGAGAAATCCATCAATAAGTCCAAGATGCAAAGCAAGTGAAAACTTAGTTATTAAAGATTTATTTTAGATCTTATTATTAAATATTTATATTTTATTTAATAGCAAACAAAAATAAACTCACATATTTTACATTGCATGCATAAATATGATTGATATACATTTAAAAGTTTCACCAGGTTTGAAATTGTCAAAATTAATTTTTAAGTTAAATCGGTCGACTGTTTAAGCATACCAAGTGAACTGGTTGATCATTGTTCATCTATGATGAACACTTGGGGATTTTACAGGAATCAATCAACCAAATAATATAGTCATTTGAACCGATCAACCGCTTTAGATGTTAGATGTTAGAGGCATTCTAATAACTATGAATAACTACTTTCTTTTGGAAACATATATAGCTTTCTTTTATGCAAAATTAAAGAGAGATTATGAAAATACATTATATAGAAGCACTTTAATTATATTGTAGCTTACATAATCTTTTTTTTCCTTATCTATTTACTTTAAGCATTTTAATTATATTGTAGCTTATTATGTTATATGTGCATAATGTGACTATTTATATTATTTAACATAATTAGTGGAACACCTAATTTACCTATTTTTAGTTGTTGTTGTCGTCTTATTCCTA